ACAGCAGATTGCAGCACAGTATACTATTATTTAAATCAACTGGCTTGCATGCTAGAAGCATGGCAATCCCAGAAACATGGCATTTGATGCAGACTGAGCTGAACAGATTAGGGACCGTTTCCAGTAGGGGTGAAGGATGAGCCAGGCTTGGTTCATCCAGGCTAATGGCACCTGCATATGTCCAACAAAAAAGATGTCAGCCACACAGAAATTCAAAATCTAAAGGAGACGCAGAAGCAAACTGGGCAACCCTGTAGTGTGGCAGCTGTCACATCCACTTTGCATCATAAGTTTGTACATATTTGTCTCAGTCTTTTTTGGATGTGGCTGTCAACATGGAGCTCTAATGCTGCATCTCTTTTCCTTGAAATATGGTGAATTGACAATACTTTTTCAAAGTTGTCTGTATAAGACAAATATTTCCCCTTTACCAGACTACTCTTCCCCAAAAAAGTAGTAGTTTTAGGATGCGTATCATTAAGCTATGCAGTTCCTAAATTTGAATACTGACACTTGCATAAATAGCATTTACAGTGAGAATTTCTGCTAAATAATCTACACAAAACTGACCCACATTTGCAAATCTCCTTTGAACCACTGTAACAGAAGTACACATGGCATTAAAAGCAAACAGCTATCATGATTCTGAATTCAGAGCTCTGTGTGTCCATCACAGTAGGGCTTGAGTAAACGTGGTTTTCCTTCATAGCTACTGCCACTATCATTGTTGCTTTGGGCACTCAGCTGCAGATGGCCCATTTCTGAGAGGTTTTGCAGGCAAACACACATACTGTAAGGTGCCCTTTTGCCTTGTCTGGGAGGGGAGTTTGGAAGGACGAGGTACTGCAAGTAAATTCATGGTGAAGAGATAGAAAACCATGCTCTGAAGTAATGATGAGTCTCCCAAAAATCAGCAAAAGCAGCCTGAAATCTAATCTGAGATTACAAACATGACTGATAACATTCCAGGCACGAGGAACAGAAGACGATTTAAGTCTGCCTTGTGTGATTGATGGACCCTCTGTTTCATTGGTAATCTTCAGACTTGCACTGTTTACTGAGCGTTTCTGTGTGACTGACTGAGAGCAGGTTTACTTTTTGGTCCTCTTAGTGCTGGCAATTAATTTTAATTGTCAATTCAGTGGATGTCCTCACCTCACCCAGATCTCTCTGCAGAAGAGAAAACGCAGGCTCTCAGTCTGCTGAAGATTCCTAAAAACATGCACTCATAGATTACGCAGCAGAAAAACAAAACAAAACAAAACAAAGCAAAAAATCCCCCCCAACACTCCGTGTTGGAAGATGTGTGCAGGAAAACGGGTATCTGGGCAAATGAAGCCCAGAAATAGCAAATCGAACCAGAGAACAAAGTGAGCTAGTGGTGTCATGTGGGAGTGGAAAAATTTTACTGTGACAGGGACAGGCATAGTGGCAAACAGGTGAAACCAGTAGTAAATCATCTAACTTTCTGAAAATTATAATTTTTCTGCCAAACTTTTCTGTACCTAATAATGTACTGTTGCTTTTGACAGAAGACAGATAAAATTTACATAATAATTTGGCTAAAGGCTGCCCACTGATCCTGGCTGGATTGATCTCAATGCAAGCAGAGTGCTATACCCCACTGATACGTTGTATGTTTCAAAAAGGCTAATTTCACATAGAGGGGGGGAAATGAGGATGTAAATTTAGATAGGAAAAGCCAGGCAAAAAAAAAAAATCATGAACGAAAATAGTGGGATTTTTTTATTATCTCATTATTGATTATCACAGTTCCACCACACACTGTTTAGTCAGAAACAAATCCTCTGGCAACAGATTAAATGATTCTGTCTATTCTCTGATCTAGTTTCCCCTTAAAGCAACTGACAATTAGTAGTCCCTTAAATAGTTCCTGTTTCTAGACTGGCTCTTCTCCCCATTCCACCAGATACTAAAATAAAACTATTTTGCCCTTCTGATTCTCCCTGCCAAGGTGGATTCCAGTTGCACATGCAGTAAACCTAAGCTCGCTTGAGCACAAAACAAAGGAGGAAATGCTTTCAGGTCTGCAGAGGTCACTAGTGCCTATCTGTACAGTGGTACATACCTCGGTCATTTTGTTTAAATTTCCCATTAAAAATCCTGCCTATCATGCTATTATTTACTACATGTCTTCAGCACACAGTACTGCCATACTCTCGTGTCATTCTGCAGGAGCTGAGGTGAATTTCTACATTTCTGAAAGTTTGGCTAATGACTGATTTTCAGGTCGAGAAGAGATCCCACTCTTTATGCTGCGCCACAGTCATAGATGCCACCTCAGGATACACCACGACCATAGAGTCCTACCTCTGCTGCTGATTTGCCAAGGAATTACACATCAGTTGCTTCATCATGCATCAGTCACTTCATCATGCAGGGAATTTCCAAGTTTAAAAGTGTTACTAATGAGAGCAATGTGTTACTACTGTAGCACCAAAAACCTTGAGTTGTTATTTATGTCTCGCCAAGCACCACCACAAAGGGCTACTCTGAAAATTCAGTTCTTCTCTTACGGCTATTATCTTTCCTCATTACAAAATTATCCAAAAAGTCACATTTGTGGATGGACTTCAGGAAATTTAAAAAACTCATTCTTGAGATAAATAAAAATATTTGAAGCATTTTGTTTCAGTTGACCCCTGTGTATAATTAGAGGCCATACATTAAGAATCAAAAATCTAGACATTCTGGAACGTTTTGATGTTTCCCAAACTCTAAGTTCTAAACAAAATTGTCTGAATGTCCATTACATTCTATTGAAGTGGCACATTAAGATGAAAAAAAGATTACATAAACACTTTTTATGCATTGTAACCAGTAGGCCAGATTATCATTTCAGTTATACTGGCGAAATTCCCACCATCTTCATTGTGCTTGCCAAAATGCTAGTCCTGTGACTTTGGTAAGACACACTGTTGAAGATGCAGAAAACAACCAGAGCACATATTCCTCTTCTTTTGGTGTTTTTGGCTTTGACCCTTTGACCCCTTTTTGAGGCCTTGAGCAACCTGATCTAGTTGGAGATATCCCTGTTCCTTGCAGGGGGGTTGGACTAGATGACCTTTGAAGGTCCCTTCCAGCCCTAACCATTCTATGATTCTATGATTCTATGATTCTATGACCCAGGGCATGGGAATAAAAGTTGATTTTAGAAATTAAATCTAATGTAGTTGAAATGTGACATTTTTAAGAATCTCTTTCCAGAACAGAAAAATACAGAACCTAAGGACCAAAGAGTGTCCTTTAGAAGAGCTTGTCCAATTCTAATCCTGAATATCAGGGCCAGATTGTTCAACATCAAGTTTACAGAGAAATGAGAAAGGAAAAATAAATTATATTGGATTATATTCAAACAAATATTCAAACAAACTCTGAATACACTTTCTATTCAGATAAAATGTTTGGCACCCTTTTGATAACAAAATTATTTCCGGCTGAAACTCTATAATAGTTTTGTGTTGGTTTTGGCTGGGATAGAGTTAATTTTCTTCGTAGTGTCTAGTACGGGGCTCCATTTTGGATTTGTGCTGAAAATAGTGTTGATAACACAGGGATGTTTCCATTATTGCCGAGCCGTGCTTACACGGAGCCAAGGCCTTCTCTGCTTCTCACACCAGCCCACCAACCAGTAGGCTGGAAGTGCACAAGGAGTTAGAAAGGGACACAGCTGGGGCAGCTGACCAAACTGACCAAAGGGATATTCCATGCCATATGATGTCATGCTCAGCAAATACAGCTGGAGGAAGAAAAAGGAAGTGGGAAGCATTTGGAGTGATGGCATTTGTCTTCCCAAGTGACTGTTACACGTGACAGAGACCTGCTTTCCTGGAGATGGCTGAACACCTGCCTGCTGATTGGAAGGAGTGAATGAATTCCTTGTTTTGTTTTGCTTTGCTTGCATGTACGGCTTTTGCTTTTCCTATTAAAACTGTCTTTATCTCGATGCACAAGTTTTCTCGCTTTTACTCTCTGTTTTTCTTCCTCCATCCCACTGGGGAGGGAGTGAGCAGCTGCATGAGTCTTCGTTGCCGGCTGGGGTTAAACCACAACAAGTTTCAATGAGTTTATTTTACAGGAGTTCCCTTTAAGAAATAAGCAGTGGTTACTCTTAGAAGTAGGACAGCCAGTTCCACCTAACCCTATTTCTACAAGAACTCTTATCGTGTCTGCCTGGAAGTTGCCTCCCATCAGCAATTCATGCTGTATTTTACCTGGTTTCCTCCACAGACATACGCTACTGCATTGGCCTCATATTGGTTTGTGGAAACTATTGAATTGAATCCCATTGTTTCCAAAAGCCTGACTGGATTTTACCCATGCTGTCAGCTGGCTGACATAAACTGACTTCACAGGTAAACATAAAACAGCCTTAGTGTGGCACACTGCTGAATCTAATAAACTTTACAGAGAAACTGAATCATGTCCAGGCGAATTATAAGGACAGAAGAACAAGAATGTATTTCATTTCACTCACTAGCATGAGCACATCTTACCAGGAAGTTTTGCATTATCTGTATGACGCAAGACGAGAAAAATGGTCCAGTTCAGCCTGAGATAAACTCTGTGTACAAGAGGAAGTCAGACCCATTTTCATTTCTTCTGAACTTTCATGTCTAAACAAAATGCTGAAGAAGTTAGAAAGTTAGAGACCTTACACCGGTCTTTCGTTAATGAGCAGAGATAGGCACTTCCAAAGGACAACACAAGGAACTCAGGTGGGTTGAAACGCTCTTAGATGTAACTGCTTCTCTCCAGTGGATAAGAGAAGAAAGCAAAGACAACCTCCTTCCTAACTGAGGACACTCAGAGAGGTGAAGCCTCAACAATGTGGAGGGTTGAACTTGCACCTTTGTGTGAGTAGCTCATAGGTCCTGCAAATAACAACTACTGAAATCCCGTGTAAACAAACTTTTGAAATCATTACTTTCAGTGCTGCATTATGAATGTAATCATTTTCAAGGAAAAATGTCCTCTAGTCAATGCTTTGAGAGCTGTGTCTTCTGTTCCAGGTCTTCTGTCTTTCCCCAGTCCTTAACTGTGTGTTGGATATTCCACCTTTGTCCTGTGCATGCCCGCATTACAAGTCTGTATGAAACTGCATTGTCTGCTGTGATTTCAAGACATCTTTTAGTGCTCCTGTTGATTACAGCTGATCCCTACAAAAGGAAAGAAAACATGAGAGAAGCTGAGGGCTTATAAGTTTAGTGCTCAGCCGGGAAGCAATTCTCTTGGCCTCTACAAATGTGTCTGAGAAATACTAGTAGGTCACAGACCTGAGAGAAAAATGTTGCGTTTTCCTCAGGCTGATGATGCTTGACAGCTTATGGAACTTTCCAAGGCACATTAAAATACATTTAGACGTTTATTTTGTGTCTGGTTTTTGGAGTTGGGGGAGGGGGTGTTTGGTTTGTGTGAGTTTGTGGTTTTCTACAGTTTAAAAAAAATCATTTTTCTAAATGTTAATACTGTATCCTGCTTTGAAAGAAGAAAGCTAGTAACAGGTAAGAATATTCATCTCTTATCCCTAAGTCAATATTTCAGCATCAACTTTTGTGAGTGGGGTGAGGTGTGATTAAGTAAACTCATCACACCAGAAATGAGGATTTTGCTAAGGGGCTGGGTTCCAGAGCAAACAGGATCTTACCTGGCTCCTTCAGGCAGCCAATTATTTCACTATGATAATGCTTGATGCACACAAGGAACTGACTGTTTACTTTTAAGGTGGGTCTAAACCTTCCACAAACATGCCTGCACCTGTTTCAAAGTTTTGTGGTTACAGACCAGACTAAAGATAAAGGAAAGTCACTGTTAGTGGAATTTCTGGAGAACATATAGGTCTATATTATTTGGTGCACATCACTGAAACCTTTATCTTTCACCAATTCAACTCCTCTATTCTCTACTGCTTTCACAAGATTTTTTCCTGCTTAATTTTTCACTGAGAGGGACATGGTAAGCAGGCCCATACATTACATGTAAAATTAATTAATTATTGATTACATAAAGCTAATAAGGTTTGAACTGCCTGAGAGGGGAGAGGCTGCATGGCTTCCTTTCCCACCTCTCTCCATCATTATTGCTGCTGCTTGTTTATCCTGCCTCAGCAGCATGACAGCACCTGTCTTAGACCAGCTGACTAAGATAGTATTATCATATTCTGTATTCAGAGGCACTGAATACAGAATATGAAGGTATCACTTGGGATCTTGGGCATGTCAGCATCAGCTGGCATAAATCCTGCACAAATAGAGACAAATGAACATGGTGTGAAGGCTCACATTGCCAGCTGTAACCTGAGCTCTGAAAGGATGAACCTAGCCTGATCTCCAACAAGGATTTCCGTGCTCACATACTGTTACAGAAGACAGTACCAGAGAGTGAGCAGAACAAGGCATCAGCCCACTTCTTCTCTAAGACCAACAGGTCCCATGAGAAGGCTGGGAAGACAGTGCACAGCAGAGAGAGTTCACAATGGATAGTCAGATCATCAAAAGCAACAGAAGCACCTGGACTTACACATTCTCTGCCTGTTAGCTGAACTGTGATAACCAAGCGAGTGTTTTCAGTCACCCCAGCTAAAAATTAAAACACTTAAACCTTTAAGTAGAAGGCTTAAACCAGCTGATTCCACCAAGACAGACAGACAGTTGGACAAATAAGTGGCTATGCTTCAGATAACAAGTGAGAACTGGTTAAATTCTGGTAACTCAGCTTCAGTTGTGTGATCATCCCCTTGTTTTTAACATCACACACCCCTGAAGACTCAGTCACCTTCACTGTAGCTCTTGCAGTGGCACCTACAAATCTTTAAACTGAGGCAGCATTATTCAGAAACAAACTGCTTCACAGGGAAAGTGTCTAAGGATTCATTATAACGGGAAAGCTTATTGAAATGTGAGGACATAGAAATCCACCTACCTGCTTAAAATCCCAGTGCAAGTTCAGGCCTTTATTCACAGCTGTGACACATTGCTCTAAAACTGGCAGATCCCCATTCCCAGGGTCTGTTAGGCATCTGTCAATTGAATTCCGTCGGGCACGTAAACCTCCTACAAACATTTCTCCAGTGCTGTGATAAAAGATGTGCTAAAAGGAAAGGTAAGACCACCGTCAGTGAATTAAGATATCAGGGAAATCTCATCAGCAGACGATAGCAGACAGTTCCAAAACTGACATTGAGAGGCATCAGCTGTACAGCACCAGCATTCACTGATCTCTCAGCAATTAAACCAGGATGAATGTGACCCTATACAACATCTTTATGCTTTCCAATGAAAAAAAAGCAAGATGCTTACTAATTGAATGGTAACCCTTAGCTTTCCTCCTACTGAGAAGACAGGCAGTGAAGTGTGAGGAAGAGCGCCACCTCTTT